GTTGATTTTCATTTTTTGACAAAAATCTCAGTAGTTTATTCGACGTCGAAATTCAAAAAAAATTGAAGTGATCGACTAGGATAAAAAGAGTACATCATTCGAATCGATTTTTGACGCTGATTCCGAATATGATATTTTCATTGAGCAAAAGTTTAGCTCTGATGGAGAAAATTGCGAATTACGGATAGAGTTCCGCTTTTTCCCAGTAAAGTCGACTTTTCTCAGCAAGGACAAAAAGTTTTTCGAAGCTGAGGTATAATTTTGTTCGCTATCAGACGACGATTTGAATGATATATAGAAATCGGAGAAAGCTTTTCAAACAGAAGACTATATAGATTAGCGAGAATAGGGTGTCACTCTGCTCTGAACTGTCCTAATCGAGCTTGCTGAGGGAAAGGGTCATAATAAAAGTCGCTCTTCCTTAGATGAACATACTCAGGTTTTCATGCTGAATCCGAATAACTTAGTTGTAGACTATTTTGATAACTTTAAACTGGTGAAATCTTGATTTTTCTCGAAATGGGTCAAATTTTCATTTTTAGAGGAAGAACTTGTATTTCAAGATTTCTCACCCAAAACGTGGTCAAAAGATGAAAAATCACATATTTGGAATCAGCTCGTCGAACTCTATCGAACGATGTATATTTGAGTCGAAAATGTTTTCTGTTTCTCTTTTGCATTCTCGGTAGCCTATTCATAAAAAAACACTAAATAATATTGATACCTTGTTTCACACACAAGTTTATGTGCGTCTAAACGTATTTCAATCCAATTGTTTAATAATGCAAATAATGGTGCAAGTGGAAAAGCAGCAACAAATATTGTAATAAAGCCAAATTGCAACACTAAAAAAATAACAATGAAATTTTAATTGACAGTGTTTGTCTTTATTTTTGTTAACAAAATTTAATGATCATTGATACTTTACCCATTTCTAAATATTCCTCAAATAATCCACTGAATTCAAGATGTCTATAATCCTCTTCCCATCGTGTTTCACCTTTTGTGATAGAAATTCTTAGTTTATGATACATTGTTTTCAATTTTCTTCAATTAAAAATTTCAATATAACAAAAAAATTTTTATAATTAAAACAGTGAGTAGGAGAATGTTGTTCTTACAACGTACGGTTTAACAATTTCTTGAATATTATTAATAGCTTGTTTTCCAATCATAATAATGGCTAATTGTTGGGCTAATTCAATGAGACATCCACCTTGTCCACACTCTTCTTGTCTCAATCCAAATAGTCGTCGATAATTGCCCGGATAACCCGTAAATCTAAACAATTTAACTTGAGGAAAGAGAAATTTCCCATAACCAAAGTGTATACATACTTTCCTTTAAAGAATGCTACGTAAAATATTGAGGAATAAAAATTGATAAATTGAAATAGAAATACTTTAATAGTCAAATGATTGTCAAAATCTGTTTGTGTACGATGCATTTCTACAATAGAAATAAAAAAAATTTCATAAATAAATAGAAAATAAATTGAAAATGACAACTAAGCTATTGGAGTTATAAATTTAATGAAAATTGTTAACATCATTAATTATTATACCCCATTGAGTGAGTTTATAAGCTAATATTTCGTATACTTTTCCCAATATCATAATAACAATTAAATTCAAAAATGCTCCACTGATTGATGCATAACTAAGCGCATATTTTCTACAAATGAACAAATTCTATGTATTTTCAAATTAATGTAACGCGTTTTTTACCTTAAGTCTTTATTTTTAAACAATGGTATATTGATAATAGTTCGATAGACAATAATGGCTATTATAAATATGATTACAATACATATCTAGAAGAAAAAAATATACGTAATATAGATTTTATTTTCTCATTAATATTTGAAATACATACCATAACACTTAATGACAATACTCCGGCTAAAACCCGATAACGTCTATGAGATGTTGGAAAATATGGCTCCAATATTCCAGTTATAGGATTTTTTTCTACTGATGGTGCTCGTACAGTAAATTCAGGTCGTGGGTGATCCTTCAAACATACACACGTAGATACATATTGTTTCTTTATTCTAAAATTCAAACCTCTTCTTCTTCAAAATCCATTAAATCCCATTGATAAGCAATTTCAGCATTTTTACGTTTCCAATGTTCAAGAAACATGATAGCTGTATTGACGGAATTTGTTATATATATATATATGTATAATGAGAGAATGAGCTAGATATTACCCCAAAAACTCATAAATACGGCAAAAAAAACGGTGCCTCGATGATCAAAAAATACTCCAATACGTGCATAAGAACAGATATCAGACAATTTCCAATATGGACAACCAACATTCTAAAGTAAGTATTTTATTCATTATGAATAATGATATCTTCAGTTATTAAACCTCATCACATATTGGACACATGGTGATATTTTTTCCAATTGTACATATATCCTTCGTAGCCATATTATTAGACACATGAATAAATCCGAATAGAAACACTAGTATACCGACAATGGATGCTGGTAATAACCAGGTAGTGTATAATCCTAAAAAAAGATATATTTTAATGAAGAATAAACACTACTAGCTTGAGATCTGAACAGAAAAGTTACCATTATCATAAACAATATCTATTCTTACCTAGCCATGCAAAATAAATGCTTATTTTTTCTCCAAAATATTCTCGTATACAATCTAACGGTTGATTTTTATACCAAATACGATATCGTACCCATGTATCATAGAGCACTCGTCCTTACCAACATAAAACTAAAAATAATTAATAACTTAGAATTCATCTTATCATTAACTATTTACTTGGATTGTTTTCATCTTGTGGTGTATGTATTTTAGTGGGAGTAAATTTATAATTGCCTTCATGCAACGGATAAGCAGCTTGAAAAACATGCTCACGCAGTAAGCGATCAATACCAATTTCACCTCTTTCTGAATATCCAAAAGGTGTTGTTTGAAGAATTTCATGAACGATCAGACTCCGCTGAGTATTTGTAAAATGAACGGAAAAACGATCATTGCCTAAAAATTTATCTTGTTTTGATGATTGAAACAGACAACTATACAAGTCAGGATGAATCGTCGATGCATCTGATTTCATAGGATTTTTTATATGAATGAAACGAAATAATTTGTCCGTCATAGTATCAAGGTTTTCATTATTATTAACCACCTATAATATTAGTCATTTGTTGTTTTTTTTAAGAAAAAGTAATGGGGAAAGTGGAAACAAACCTGAATAGGTGCACGAAAATTTAAATCTTGTGCATATTTTACCACCAAATGCCATGGTACACTCAACTTTATAAAATGAATCATACATCTCTCGGCTTCGCATATTTCCTTGAAATTACATAATGATAGACTGAATGAGGTGGACAAATTTCTGTACAAAAAGTTGTCAAAATACTAACAGTTTCCATTAATAATCCAATGTTTGCCAAATTCATCAGAAATGATTGCTTCCATATTTCTCGTTTATCTTTTGGTTCATGTATTATTCGACTTTTCTCTGTCTCAAATTCATCTGATGTTGACGTTAATTGTTCTGAAACATTTTCACGCTTTTTTTCATAGACGAGAATATAATCTGCGAAAAAAAAGAGCATGATTCCTGAGTATCAACGATGTCTTCGTATTTCAATAGGAAAAAACAACAAATTCATTAAACCTACCAATTTTTGTTGTCTTATCATTAAAATAATTGTAGAATTGATCTTCAAGTTTAACGACAACATTCTTGAGCATCTAAGTAATGATATATCAATTTTAATGTTAACCTTTGAGTATGCATTACCTTCATGCTTTTATCATCGTGATCTTTTGAAATTTTGTTTTGAATCGATTCGGTCTTCAATAACTTGTCAACTACAATTTCAATCGACATTTCATTTGATGATAATTCAATTTTTATTAGATTAATTTAATACACGAAGTCACGATGTGTATTGCGGAAGATAAACAAAAATCTTTTCCATATCTCATCGATTGACTATATTCTTAACAATACATTAATGTTTTCTCCTTTTATGGATGTAACAGCTGGTTGTTAAACCAAATTTAGAATATGAAATACTTTCATAACATCAGTCTTTTGACATTCTCCAATGCGATTTACAGGAGCACATAACATTTTTTTCAAAAGAATTTGCAAAGAATCGATTTTATTCTCAATTGTCTCCTGTTTTCAAAGATAATCAAAAGCGACAGTTCAGATCCATCAAAATTACCCACGAGCTGGATTTCCGAAAAATCGCCAATCTAAACTGCTCAGTTTAAGGTAGAAACTAAAAAATTTTGTTCAAAATCTGAGTTTTCATCTTAAACACAATTTTTTCACCATTAAATTTGCCGTCGGCCAGTGCATATAAGGCACTGTTTGAATCTCGAAAAATTTCACTTTCGTTTTTTCTCCAAATGTCCGCTTGATTGCCCACTGTGGTTGCCACAAGAAGTATTTTCACTTAGTTTTTTATGTGACTCTACTGTGGAGTAGTTAAGTTTTGATTGCATATGTTTATAATTATGCAATTAAAATAATGACTTTTCTTTCTTCATTTTCTAATCATTTGAGCAATCTTTACTGAATGCTTGAAATTTTTCTTAGACACGCTTTTATTTTTGTGGTAGATTATACCATGCTTTTTTTCTTGTAATTTTGCATTTCTCTTTTAAAAAAGACGAACAGACCGATCGGAGATTTTTTTAAATGTAAGGATAACAGACAATTGTACTACTTTTTGTATTATGATTGTTATGGCAGGGGTTGGGACATGTCAGTGACATTTATGTAGTTCCCTTACACGATATGTCACAAACATCATTATTTTAAAGAATTTCTTGAATTAAATATCAGAACAAAAGGATAGTTTGTGAATAAAAGAGACTTTTTCTTGTAATCTGCATTCGACACCTGCTTGTTCAACAATGATGTTCTTCCATACTGTTTTAACAGCAAATTAAGTTTGGAAATAATTCATTAGTACACATACCTATTGACGATACAATGGGTTATAGGAAATACTTTTGTGTGTAAAAATCCCGAAGAATCAGCAGTACGAAATAAAATAGAGCAAAAGAATCAAGATACTGCCATAAAAACCAATCTTTTATTAATTTAACAAATTAATATATAAATACGAATTTTCTATCTGAGACGTAGATCGTTAGCGGGTACTTCTGATGTGTTTTTTTTAAACATCTAACTATATCTGTACTGATTTTTATTTGTTTCGTCCACATGTGAATAAAGCACTTTAACATCGGTGAGTTTTTTCACCGATAACAGAAATGGAAACAAAATTGAATTCATGAAATGTGGATGACACTCTCTGATAAAATTTCCGGAGACTCCGTAACGGGACTCCCTAGATCTTTTGTAAATATCATATAATTCATTATAATTAAGTGGTACGTCCTATCACTGGTACCAGTCTGGAACACGTCAGCCAACACCGGCTGATACGATGGTGATGATTCACTAGGAGAAAATTCGAACGAATTTTCCCATAGAATAGTGGTATATTTATGTATGGCTGTTCGCAAAACAAAAAGCTGGATGGGGAGTTGGCAGGAATTCTCTGGGGAGCTTTAGGAGGACTCCTGGGGATTATCCATTTTTCGGGAACTCCCCGGAAACTTTTCGAAAAAAGTCGATTAGAGACACCTGAAGGATTGAAAGTTAACGTTTTGCTTAGCTCTCACTTTTGAATATGATACTCTCAATCAACCTTATCTCAATTAAATTACCTCTCTCAATCAAACAACTTCCATTCAGGTCCGTCCAGTTTATACAGACAAAAAAGTCGCAAAAATTTCAATACTCATCTCGTGCAGAGCATAGAAAGTTAATTAGAATCTGATATTTTCTCACTATACTAGGCTGAAAAGTGATTTTGGCCATAACGAAACAATAAACTCAATACCTATCGCCCTCTAGTACGAAGCCCATCGTTGAAGACCCTTTTTAAGAATAGCCGACTTTCAGGCTGCACAGCACAAAAATTTTTCAGTCGAAATTTTTCATTGTAGTACTCATTGAGCCCCACAAAATGGCAACAAAGATTTTTTTGGTTCGCTTCGTTTTCAACCCCATTTGTCTATCACAAAAGTCAAAAACATCGAATACTGTTTTCATGTTTTCGCTTGCTTTTCATTCTGTTCTTAAATTTTAGTCGAGGCGAAATAATTCTTAATTTGCAATCCATCTTATTTTTAGCTAGACTAATACAAAATCGGTTATCTTTGATTAACGCGGCCATCAGTATAAGTTTCTCTATAAATTATCGTCAGCGCTACGTTTCAAGCAACGAATATACGGATTCTCATTGGACAAAAAAGCAGACCAATAAAGTTTTGAGCAAACAGTGTTCCATAAACAGTTTTTCTCTACAACTATTTTTAAACAATTTGCTTTTTATTTATTCTACCTAAAAATAAGATGGGTTGCGAATTAACAACTATTTCGCCTCGACTGAAATTTAAGAACACAATGAAAAGCACGCGAAAACATGAAAACAGTAGTCGATGTTTTTGACTTTTGTGATAGACAATTTGTCTATCATAAAACTCCATTTAATGGGGATGACAACGAAGCGAGCTAAAAAAATCTTTGCTACCATTTTGTAGTGCTCAATGAGTACTACAATGAGAGTAAATGAATAGTCAACTGAAAACTTTTTGTACTGTGTAGCCTGAAAGTCAGCTATTCTTAGAAAACGGCCGTCAACGATGGGCTTCGTACTAGAGGAAGTTAATTCTTTTTCAATCAGATTAGGCAGTTCTTCAACTTTCTTCTCATCTATAAAGGACTTATCGTTTTGTCTTAAGTGGTAAAATACTGAATGCCGTTTTCTGATTTTGGGATAGTTGGCCGGGCCTTCTAAAAGTAGCAGGACACGGTTTTAATATCCATATATGTACTACTCGAGATACTTTTCTGCGTGGTTACTTCAAACGGTAGTGTAAACTATTCAGACGCACAGAAAAACAGGGTTAAAGTTGCTTCACTGCAAGGTAGGCCAAAACTTGACATTCCTAAAAAGGCATGTAGAATATGACCTTTTTAGCGAGCAAATATAGGACTCCAATTAACTTTCTATGCTCTACAGGACAGGAATGTTGCAATTTTTGCGGCTCGTTTGTCTGTGCAAACTGGACGGACCTGAATGGAAATATCCCATTCTCACGTTAAGTTTCTGAGAGACAGTCGGACTGGTTATAGATCCTCAAAAAAGTGCATCTGTGAAAAAAATTTTAAACTTATTTTGCTTTTGAGGATACGTGGCAAAGTTCTAGGTTTCGAACGACGACGGACTTCTACCATATTGTAACTATAGGGTATTTACTAATAATATTTGTGATATATTAGTTTTTAATATTCTAAGATATCATTTCTTCTGTAGACGCGAACACAAAAAACGTAAAACTTCAACTGAGCAATAGTATCTTCTTGAAAGCGTTTTTTGAAACTTCAGACAGTGCTCTGGAGCTTACAATAAAATGATGAAAGACGTATGTGATTGTCTTTCCAGTGGGGGCGTGCAAGACAACCAATACCGACCTCTATCTACATACCATGTTTTTTGAGATTTAAAACTAATTAAAAATCATTTAAAATGTGAAATAGATTGTCTGTGAAGGGTGATCTTTCAAAACTTTTAATAATACGCCTCTTACTCGTTATTGGCTAAAAGAGAAACACCAATCAAAAAAGGTTCTTCACTAAGGCTTTATTGATTGATTTATTTTGTTGGTTTACTTCCGATCTGTTAGTTAAGTAGTAATAAGAATGTGACAGTTTAATTAGGTTTATCACAGTTATTTATGAAAAGATTTTGATTCATCTTAGATTTCTGTCATGATCTGTCCTTTGTATGAATTCAAGCTGAAAAAGTTCATTAGTTGTTTCTGATCAGTATTTCTAATGAGATTGAGAGTCAAAATGATATAATACACTCTGTTTCAGAACCGACAATGTGTGTATACACTCTGTTTTTCAATACAGTTGTTTCAATAAGTGTACTTCAATGACGCATTTTGAAACGATATATCCGTGATATAAACTGAGAAAAACCTACAAAAAACAAAGTGTAAATTAAAAATTCAAAGTATACACTGTATACTCTGTCTTTCCTCACACTCTATAAAACAATATTTATATTTAATTTCGTTTGGATACTGCACACTTTATTTCAACAGGCACACTCTCTGATTATAATTATCAGAGTTTCTGACCGTGAAATGTGCGTTCTCGATATTTTTTCAAATTATAATACAATGAGCACTAAATCTACTTATTGCTGTCACAATTCTGCCTCTAAAATAGTCCAGCAATCTATGTTAGTCAAAGTCTCATTTGCGGTGATCAATTAAGAAATTGATAAAAACTCTTTAGAAGTTTGCTCGAAAGATCTAGGATCATAAAATCGATCCTAATAGATTCTTCATGGTGATAACCTATTTCGACACACTTTATTACATGTATACGCTAATAAATTAAAAAATTATTCAATTCTATTCACTGCCCACGGCGAAACATTCTATTAAGATAATTTTTTGCTTATAATGATACCTGGATATAGTGGCTCCCTCTCTTGACTTTAATGTTTAGTGTCAGAGTTTAAAGATTTCTACTTATTCAAGAATGACATCTGAGTTTGTACTGATTTACTTCTGTAACTACAGATGCATTTATCTACTGATCCTTTCTCTCTTCTGACTAGTTAATCCATGGAAGACCTTGCAGCCATTTTTCCATGTTTTGCGAACATATAATTAATTTGTTCGATACTTTTTTTTATAGTATCTACATTACGGTTAAGGAAAAAATGTAGATCAATTGGTTTTTGATAATTCTGACATTTTTCCCAAGAATTGACACTACTTTTGCATTATTGTGCACATGATAATTAGACCCCCAAGCAATGGTTTTTACGTTGCTACTTTATATTCTCTGTCTGCTTTAAGATGCTACCGGAACGCGAACAGTTATTGTTTTTGCCGAATGTTGCGCGAAATAGATAAGCTGCATGGTATTAAGTTGGTTACTGAATTCTGTATATATGTTACCATTTATTATTGCATAGTATTTTGAAAAGTATATTTCTGTTTCTATTATAATATGAAGATGTTGTTTTCTTTTTGAGATTGTTTACTTGAAAATCATTCTGAGAAATGGCAACATCTGATACTCAATATATGACAATGGATGATGTGCATAATTTGAACAAAGATAAAGAAAAATGTATATTCATTATTGATAATAAATTGTACGATGTTACAAAATTTTTAGACGAAGTATGTTTTTATTTTTATTAAACTATTTAGTGATCCAAATGTTCTCCGCTTTTAGCATCCAGGCGGTGAAGAAGTTTTGAAAGAACAACGTGGTAAAGATGCAACAGATGCTTTTGAAGATGTTGGTCATTCGAATGATGCACGTAAACAAATGCAGGAGTTTCTAATTGGAGAACTTCAGCCCGTAAGTGTCAGATTGTAGTAGTAAACTGGCGCGTCATTATTGTCTTTTGTTTATTTTTTATAGACCGTGAAGAAATCTATTGAAAAGGTAATTTAAATACATGTTTATATACTCCGAATTCTCTGTTATTTGTATGATAAGGAACAGGGTGCTTTATAATTCTACAAGTTTTATGAATATTTATTGTTTCAAATTAACCGTCGAAACATTCTTAATAACTTCAACATTTTGATTTATTCATAAAACGTAGTTTTTTATTTAGAAGCCGCAAAAAGTAAATGTCGATGAACTAAACAATGAGTCATCATCTTGGATGAAATGGATTATACCACTTGTAATAGCCATATCTGCTGTTATTATATTTAAATTGTTTTTTAAATAAGTCATTCGTGTTAGCTATTCATACACGATTTTTTTTGTTACTTCCAATGTTTTTGTTTGTTATATACAAGGTTCTTTTTTTCCACAGGAACTTGTTATTACTTGTCAAGATAGGTTTTTGTAATTGTTTTCATTTTGGATGAAAAATCGGTATTTTCTCTATTACGATGGCTTATAACGAATACTTTTTCACTACTTTTGTGTTCATCTTAGATCGTAATTTATTCTTTTTTTAACGTGTTTTTAATATAGAGAAAATTAAAACGCTATTCACTTGCTCTTCTGTAATTCTATTGTTTCGCTGAATATTCTAGAATTTGAGCTGTTCGTGTTAAATCACTAGTTATTAAAATTGTTAGAATGACATATGGTCGCAATATAAGTTGAGGAAAGTCGAAGTCACGTACAGTTATTCATTTCATTCTGATATAACCTTCGATCTGTTTCCCGTGGACTTACGACATTTGTTTTTCTCTAATTGAATTGTGTTTTATTTTAGATTGTTCTCTCTCTTTTGTCTGAAAATTGTTAGAAAAATGGCCGAAGCACAATTAACAAATCAATTAAGTCGTATTGAATCAATGACAAACGCTGAATTACGTGTGGAATTGAAACGCCGTGGTTGTAGTACAACGGGAAATAAAAAAGATCTGTTGGCAAAATTGCGTACGGCTATGCAAAAAGAATTTGATCAGCAAGTGCTTGCTACAGCGTCAAAAACAGCGACAATCAATTATTCACCAATGGAAAGGAGTAGTGATGATCTTATATCACACAACGACACATCAGAATTAAATACATCTTCATTTATGACACCAACTGCACAAAGTCCACAATTACAAAACCGTCAACCACATACAGATCAAAATCCGTATTCGAATTTACTAATACATGATCCAGTACGTATGATACTATTATTTTGTTATCTGCTTACTGTTAATCTATTATTTTCCTACCCTTTCTAGCTTCTAAGTAAGAAGAGAAGGGGATCTTTATAGAATAGAATCGTTTTCATGAGTTTAAAGGACTAGTATTCATTTTAATCACTAAATATTACGAAAAAATTTATTTTTATTTTGGTGAATGTGAATGTGAATTATTTTATGAGCCGTTTTTTGCTTATTAGGTCAATCCTCAATATTCTACCTTTAATTTATCAGTCAATCAACAACAACAGATACCTTCAGATGATGCTCTTGACCTTTCCTCCTCAGCGAGTCATAATACACGTCGTAAACGACCAAGTTCCACACCAGGCCTAATGGCGAATACTCCTGAAACAAAACGCACTCGTACAAGAGAAAAAAAGCGCTCTATTGATTCATCAGTCGTTCATTTCGAAGAAGAGAAACCTGCACCCACAATAGAGAAAGGAGAAGAAGAAGAACCTATAAGTGAATTACCACAGATCGAAGAACCAACAAACGTACCAGATGAACAGCAGCTACGAACATCAACAAATGTCAGTTATAATATTGAAGAAGTAAACATTGACCAACGCATTACAGGTCAAGAAGAGAAACAACATGAGGAAAATGAGATAACAAATTTACCGGTTATTGAATTAGCTCCAGATGAAATAGACTATAGTGAGGATTTGACAAAAACTGATGATGATAGATCTCGCTCACCGTCTGCCTCTTTTCAAAAGCGTAAGCGTACATCTGAAAATAGCCCCGTTACATCTGAATCAGTCATTAATGAAATGCCATTATCCGATGAACGAAAAGATCTTCGTCGTTCAAAATCACCTAAAGCAACATTGAGGGATTCATCTTCACCGTCAGAGTTAAACCAACTACAACATCAACAACAATCAGAAAACGTTGTTAAAGAACGAAAGGTAGAAGAAAATATTAATGGCAATTCAACCATAACAATAAATAAAAGGTTTGTATCAGACTGAGTCATTACGATACAATCGTTAAAAAATTACTCGATAGCAAATGTACGCTTTGGAGATATCATTTCTATGCAATAATTCAGATCGAACACAGTCTCATAGGCTGGATAATTGATAGGCGACTGGTATCTTTCTCCCTGTTAAAGTGAAAAATACTCAGTTAATTTTTGATCTTTGATGAGGTGAATTTTACTCTCTACTCTTAAAAATTTCATACTCAACAAACGTGTATCACTTTAGTATTTAATTAGAATGAGTAAGTTAGATTTATTGCTATTGCTGAATAGCAGATGAAACAAAGCTAAGTTGATTGGATTATTAGTAGTAGACTGTTCACTAGCTACGCTTTCCTTCTCTTGTATGGTTATCTATCATAACTGAAATTTTATATTTTAATTCTAGCGATAATAATGCAGTTAGTGTACTAAATGAAAAAGCTTCAAAGTCGGATGAAATTCAAGACCAACAAGTGACATTATTTCCTGAAGAAATCAGTGAATTAGTTGGACAAAAAGAGGTAATTTTTTTATTTTTTTGTTTGAACCGGAGTTTTATGATGGATATCCGGTCTTTGTTGTTCTTATATAGTACTACTATTTGTCCAATAAAAGAATGATCGTTATCATTCTTTGAATAATTATTTATCGAGGACAGTTAAGTTCGGTGTTTTATTAATCGTAACAGAAGACTTGACTGCATCTTTTCCCAAAAGAAAAGCTTTTGCTTACCTTAACGTTTGAAAAATTTCAAAAACTTGGTTTTCCAGTAAAGTTTATTCATCAAAATAACTGTTTTGCCCAAGTTAATTTTAAAATCATATTCAGCATGTATAACTGACCAGCTCATCAAATTTTTGAGTTATTTGTAGTGGATTATGAATGTTTCAATACGGAGTTAGATAGCTTTTAAGCGGATTGTATTCAGCTGATTTAGCTTTTTCATAGTATTTTCTACTTTTTGATAGACGGAAGTTATCGAAAAGCGATCCTGATGCTTCTTGTAAATCCGATTTGCTGTCTGAATTTTGGAGATTCAGTTGTGCTCTAAAGATACTTGAAAAAACCTACCTTCGAAAATGATTTTTAAAATTTGTCTTTTGTGGAAAATCTAAACAACTTTTTAAAACATAAGTTGATTGAATCAGTTGCTATTGTTTTTGATAAGTGACGAACGTGTTTACATATACAACGGAAAGAACGATAATGCTAAAAATCTAAAACTAACAGGATGAAATAAAAACACTACAAGAAAATTCTCCGTTGAGTCTTCTAATTACGATCCTTTTTTCATGGTTTGTTACTTGTCTCTCTTGATGACTACTTGTTTTCTCGTTTCAAAATAGTTTTAATCATCATTTGTTCTCTTATCTTAAGAATGACTTGTCCACAAGTCAAAATGATGATATTAATGAAAAATCTACAAACAATATAGTGGAAGGAAAAAGTAAGTAGCATATTTAATAATCAGAAATAGTCAGTTTTAGTTAAAATTATTTTTTTCTAAAGAGTGTCGTTATCATCACTCCGTACTCAGTTATTCATAAGCTTTGGTCTAGTTCTGAAGCAAAATTTCACACCATTCAAAGGTATACTTCACAAAAAGTGATTCAAAATGTAAATTATATCTTACTTTCGATCTGTTCTTCAACTTTCTATGTATGGCAGCATACAGATCCGTCCTCTGATGGGTGACATTAAATATTTTCGAATCTTTTTGCTACAATTTATATTTATTATTTCTTTATTGTCATATTTATCCATATTGATCTAGAGAAATATATCCATCACTATGAAATTATTCTAAAAATGATATTCAAATGAAAACGTTTAAATAAAATTCTCTTTCTAAGAACATTTTTATGGATATTGATTACACTTGTTCCAATTAAAGCAATACTTGTTGTCTGCCCTTCTTTTTTAAGAGCGTTCTTCATCAAATGTCAAAGATGACGAACAAAAACATCACACAACACAACAGCGCTCAGAATCAAAACAACATCGATCACAAACATCGGCATTAATTAAAGGTTTACATAAATCAAATAATAATCGTTGTTTAAATTTGTCAAGCGATGTTTTAAAGGTACGTTGATATATCGTTCACTCTAAGTAGTAAGTAATACAATATTACTTTTTTATGTTTAGACTCTTATTCCAGATATTGGTTTAGGTCCAGCTGAAGTATTAGATGCTGATTTAGAAGCAATTGATCGTGAAGATGTATGTTGAAACTGTTTGCTAAATTTGTCTGTATTCAAATTTTATTTTTAACAGGGTGAAAGAAGTAGTACGGATGGTGGATCGGATCGCGGTGGTTCACCGATTCCTATCAATGAACGAGAATTGGAAACAAATATTGGTGAAACAGGAGAAACAATGACAATTGGAGAATTAGAAAAACATATTGAAAATGGTCTGAATGCAGAAACAACATTGAAACAAAAACGTTCGAATGATCCACGACGAACGGTTATCATTGATATTAACGTAAGGAGGTTTTCATCTTACACTAAATATTTATAAATCATTGGAACTATAATTTAGGCTGATACATCATCACTGCTAAACGATGATTCATCGAATGAGAAAAAGAGATACAACGCTATTCAGCCACCAGCAAGAATATTATCCCATGAATCGAAACCATTATTGGATGGAAAAACAAATGGTTTGTACTTTTTCTAATGCAATATTTTACAATAGCCCACTCTGATAAAAAAAAAAAACATACTTGATGAAATACCTCGAATATGAGCAAAAGAGATTCGAGCAAAACGATTTTTAGCAGAAGAAAATGAACAAAAGCAATTTGAGCAAAAAGTTAGTTAAGCAACAGGAGTTTGAGCAAAATTACCTTTAGCAAAAAACTGATGAGCAAATGGAAGATGAGCAAAAAAGTGAATAACAGATTATATGCGTATCATTTTTATAATAGAACTGTAGCCATTTTCCCCAGTAGTTAATAAGTATTGCTCGATGCGTCATCATTTTAAGGAAGAAAACGATGCTGAAACAAAACTAGAAACTCAATCGTCCTAGTAGTTGATATGAAATCATTAATGAGTTGAAATTAAATCAATTTAAAAAGTTGAAATGGATTTTTTGCTAGCTAATAGAGATCTGCACGAGTGAGATTTTTTTGCTCGTGTCCGCTCGTGCGCATAATCCTACTGAGGGTTGCTTGTCTGTGCCTGTCCGTGAATTTTTTTCGTATATGAATAGTCCGTATACGAAAAACGTTTTCTCGTCCACGCGTGTATATTATGTTGTCCTTGCTGTGACATGTTTCTAACTGTCTATATTTCATTCACAAAAAATTTAAAATATCTTTTTGAGAAGCCCGTACCCGTCGAAGGGAAGCAGTTGCCCGTCCATGTGTCTTTCAAGTTTGCTCGTGTCCGTCCGTGTCTTTATCGAGCCTGCCCGTGGCCACCGGAATTCCCGTTCCCGTGCAGATCTCTACTAGCTATATCATTCGCCCTTAGTAAATCAAAGAATGGATGATACACAACAATTTGAAAATTGTCCTTTCTGTTTTTACTTTTTTGTTCTTCCAATGTACTTTGCATTTTTGCTCATATTTTTGCTTAAAATAAACATTTGCTGAAAGCAATTTTGCTTATCCTCTAGTTGCTCAAAACAGATTTTCTCATCTTCCATTTGCTCAAACTCCTGTTGCTTAACTAACTTTTTGCTCATTTTCTTTTGCTAAAAGTCGCTTTGCTCAAATTATTTTTGCTCATATTCGAGGTTACCACTTGATGCACCTATTCATCTTACTTTAAGCATTAATGATGGATGAACCAATGCGTATGAAGGATGTGACACCCTCAAATCAACCGGCGACAAAAATTTTGTACATTCGTGGACTTACGCGACCCTTTACTGTTCCTCAATTAAAAGAATTGCTTAGTCGTTATGGAACTTTAATGGATGGTGATTTTTGGGTTGATAAAATTAAAAGTCAATGTTTTGTGACAGTATGTACACGCTCATCAGTAATGATACTTGAATATTTTTGACTATTTTCCTATATTCAGTATGATACACTTGAAGAGGCACAAAGTGCTCGTGAGTCGTTGGATGGATGCCGTTGGCCGTCGTCAAATCCAAAAACTATGATTGTGAGATTTGCAAAAGCAGAAGAGGTAGATTAAAATTTTTGAATTGATGTTTTACACTACTACAAATCATTCTTTCTTCTTTTAGCTCGAATTTAGCAAAACGCATGATGCACCACCAGATCAAATGCCGCCAAGTATGTCGCTAGTCTGGATCAGCCTGCTTGTAACTGTTAGTGCTTATGTTGTCTAGTGCAAAATCTTTCCTTTTTTCTTCTCAGTCTTTATGTCCGTTTTTTTGACAAACTCAAATTGTTACGAGGAGAAGAGATACTATAAACTGCGATCCATTAAAGTTTTGAGTATTAGAAAAATATAATACGTTTGTATGAGCTAATGTAACAAAATGCATGTAAGTTTTGTATGAACATGCACGTTTATCAACAAGGCTTGGTGAAGATAGTGAGTCTTACAGTTTCAAAGGTACTGTATTCGAACCTGGGCACCGTCAAGTCACAGAAAGAAGCTTGAGCAGGTAAATTATGTCTCAGTACCTCGGATCACCTACCCGCTGGTATAATAAATCAATACGTGGTGACGTACAGTACAGTTTTTTCGGTTAGTCCTCATCACTTTGGGAAAAGATCAGCTATTAGCTGTAAAAAGTTGTATTCCAAGTACTTAATATTAAGATACAATAGTTATGTTGTTTAACATCTTGATTATATGAAAATTAAACAGCTTACGTATTTGGCCCTATCCAAAAATAGAAATTAGAGTGGTACCCAGGGCTGCAAAATTATTTTAGCTCCGTACAGGTCTGAATTTTAAAAATTTCTTGTTGGTCTGTGCCTACACTCGTAAATATGAAAATTTTAAAAATACGGGTACGACCGGGGTTTGATCATCGCTGGTTCGAGTCTGGCTGAGTACAGATTTAAAAAAACCTAGACTCGCTGGGGTTCTAGTGGTAGAAGAGCTGAGATACTAAATATTTTCTCGAAAAAGACATGAATCTCGCTATTTCAACATATAGTCTTATCTATTTCTCTTTGAGAATAATTATCAATAATTATTTTTCTAGTGAAAGATTCGATCCCAACAATACCGCTAAACACACGTCTCGTTCAAGAGAAGCCAATAACAAAAACAATAACTAAACAAGATCGTAATCTAAAAGGTACCAGTAAATCTGAACCATCTACATCAAATGCAAATGATCGCCATAGACAGGATAGAACATCACCGTCAAGTCCAACCGTTGATAAAAATGATCGTATGACTAAAAATGCACGTTCATCTGATCAAAACAATGTAAGAGAATGGGATTTACATAAATTACAGCCACGTTCTCCATCCTCACCACCTATGTCATCAACTAGAAGTCCATCAACACAACTTCACACCGAATCGAATGAGCGTAAGTCAACCAACTTTTGCTATATATTTTCTAGAAAATCAGTACAGTTTATACTCAAGCTCCTGCTCTTTACGTTTAATATACAATTTAGAATATGACTGTCCAAGTTTAAAAGCTTTGCCTTCGCAAAATGGCATTGAACGTTATATCAGTAAATGAAAAAACATTTTTTGTTAAAAATGTTTAACTTCATTATTTTTATAATGCGTTAATACCGTCTTATCGTTTTGATATTAATATCAACTAGCTTACATATTTTCCATTTTTTTAGCAACGACACAGCCACCTGGTGAAGCGCCAGCTAAAGTACTTGATGATTATTTTCGTAAAACGAAAAGTAAACCAGCTGTTTATTGGTTACCATTAACTGATGAACAGGTAAGCTATACAGAATTTAACGGTTTGAATTCTAGTTCAATATTTACATTCACAACTATTATTTCTGATTAATAGGCATTGGAAAAAATTCGTGTGGACGAACAAAAGAAAAAAGACAAAGCAGATGAGAGAAAAAAACATGATGATGCGCAAGGATCTCGTCAAATAGAAACGGTAAGGAATATACAGGCTTTTATTTTTGGTGCATCTTCGAAATACTTCAGATACCACATTATTGGATGAATCAATGAATCACCTAGATGAAGATGAATCACCTATATAATAATCAATTATTTGTTTTTAGCATCAAGTAGGAAAATCATCTCGTTCCAACAATGACTCGACAAAATATTCAACCCATTCTCGTCAAACGGATGAAAAAACGGGTAGTCGTCAACATCATCGTTCAATTTCACCTGTCATAAATAATAATACTACCGAACAATCGACATCAAATCGCGATAAACGAAAACGTTTATCTCCTAGTCCACCATCATCTAAGAGAGAAAATAAACGACATTGAATATTTTCAACTTTAACTCTGGTTTATTTCTTTTTTTTGTTTTGTTTTTTAATGTATGCCATGAGTAATTTTTATTTTTTGCAAATTTGAGATGTGTGGGATTAGTCGGCAACCAGAAAAAGAAATAGATGTTTTAAGTGTCTCTCATATCATTGTTGTTTATGAAATTCAACAATGATCTGTTTGTTGTTGTAAATATTTCCATATTCCTCATTTTGGTCTTTTTCTTGTTTCTTTTGAAACATATTCATGCACACACATTACTATAAATATGTATTGTTCTATTCTGTTTGTTTAATAAAAACAATTTTGTTCTACAAAGTCTAACGTTGGACTGATATGTACGACAGATGAAATATCAGAACTGAGAAAATTGATTTGATTTCATCATTTAACCTTTTTTTTGTTTTTGTTTCGTGTGTATTGTGCTACCATCATTCTTTTTTTTTGTATTGGTTTTCTTTGTTTCAAAATACATTTTCATTCAAAAGAGTTCATATTATTCCAGAACAACTATAGCAAAGAGTCGTACAATCCGGTGACATGTTAATGTGTCCAAGCTGTGTTTCGGCTATATATTTGCTACTAGATTGTATCAAAGATTTGCTAAATATCGTAATGCAGTATCTTGTTATTCTTCTTATTAGATTTGAACGACACAATTGCAAAAGATTTTGGCCTAAATGGAGATAAGTCATTTAAAAAAAAAGAAGTTTAATCTTAATCATAACTGTTCGTGAACTTCTCTCTTAAAATAGAGATATATCCAAACATTTCTCTACAAAACAAGGCGTTTTGCAAGTCGAAGCAATTCGTAGTAACCGTGTTACAACAATTTTCCCGATGTTCCAAAAAAAAACAGTCAGAAATAACGGGTACATACCTAGGATGTATGAAAAGCTGTAAAAATTTTAAAGAATTTTGAACTTGGATGCCAGCTATAAACGTTTATCAAAAAGCAAATACAAATATTTACAAACATTCGTATTATAGTAATGATTTGAAGAATGGTTATGGTCAATCAAAAATTTATGTTGGGCATGCAAAGCGACATTTATTGAGCTTCCTTGATTTTTTCCTCTTTATTAAGGATTTAGTAGACTCCTATTCAGTTTAGGATGTCTTCGATGTTATTGACACGAAAGACTCGTCAAAATCTTGTATCGTGCCGAAGATTAATGAGAGTGATATTTTGACTCTATGTATAATAAGAATACATCAAAGGAATGAGAATACATTTTTCGGTGTCAAGTCTATTCTATAGTTCGTGTATATTTCGATAACAAATATAAATAAACATAATTATTTGATAACAGAACGTTGAAAACTGCTCAATGTGATAGACGACTAGGTTGAGCGAATGAACCGTTCTATAATGTCATCTACGTCATAGAGTCTAGTTGCTTCTATATGTCCTTACCGTAAATTTTCAAAACAATTAAAAATAGATGGCAGGCTCTTGGTGCCTGCTGATGTCCGGAAATGATGGAATGCAATATTGAAAAAAATGAACAAATATGGGAAAAAGTCCATATGATAATTACGGATACTCTCCTCTTGAAACAAAAAAGATCGGTTGGTGTATGAGAGGGCCAAATGTCCTCTACAATTCAAGACTATTTTCAAAACTGCTCTTTCTTCAAGAGATATAAAATTTTTTAATGTCGTTTACTTTACTCCAAAAACGTCAATTTTTGTTTTTCTTGAATTGTTAGTTTATCACACAATTGTTGGTTGGGAATCGGGATAGGTTTGAGTTCACTGAACTTCATCGGAACGGGATCGGGTTTCTTCAAAGGTTACATTATTTTTTTTATTCAAAAGACAAAAATAATAACGAGATAATGTTATAGAAAAAAAAATTTCATTAATTTTAATTTTTACTGCTATTAAAAGTACCATCACTTTGAGTGCGTTTCTCTTTCTAGATTGTGGAAGAAGCAGAACATCTACGTGTAGAGATTTACTAATGCAGAAATAAAAGAGAGGCCTTCACTAAAAAAAAATTTCGGATCCAGCGGGTTTAACCCTTTGGCTCCCGGCGATGTATAAATACGTCTAGTTGCAATTATTGCATGATCATAATAGCTAGAATAAATTTGAAAAAAGATTTGAATAGCTGGAAGAATTTTCGATCTCAGGTGGTGTATACAAAGGCTCCATCAAAACTCCTGAAATCAGGGTCTCTGGAAAACTCAAATCTCAGAAAACCAAGTCCTAGAGTTCAATCTAGAAATTCTTTGCAAATAAGTCTGTCGTGTAGAGTAAACATTTCTGAAGAAAATGAGACGTCTCCGAGCTGTTTATGACATTTTCTCATGGAGCAGCATTCAATTTACGGGAAGCCCCATAGCAGCAAAACTAACGGAAAAACAAGAAGATACCCCCTTAGGGCCTTTTGTAAATTGATTCTTGTTCCATGAGAAAATATCGTAAACAGCTCGGAGACGACTCAATTTCTTCAGAAATGTTTACTCTACACGATAGACTTATTTGCAAAGAATAAAGAAACCAAAATAGCACATGGCTGACAAGAAAGTAGGAAAAGTCAAGAGCTTATAATTATAAGCCTGCCACTATTAAATGAGTAGAAAAAAACATAAAATGAAATTGAAACAAAAAAAACAAAGAACAAACAAATCATCACATGTTGAGCCTAATCAAGAATACAGTTTTACGCCTATGACAAGAAAATAAACAAACAACTGTAATATTTTTATATATTCAAAGATGATCTTAGTGATCTTTTGAATTGATTTACTGTATGACAAGAGACTACCTCCTCCGGTAAACTGTTCCACTCTATTGCAGTCGTACAAAAAAATGAAGACGCAACCCGCGTCTTCGTCGCAGTAATAGTTCTTATTTGTGGTGAATTTTATCTATCCAAATTTAAATGATCTAATCTATGATTTAATAGAGGTTCACTGAATTTAGTTTGAAAACTAGAAAGTGGTGATAAATCATTTTTAATTTTATAAAAATGCAAAAGTATTTCCTTCTCAAGGATAAATCGAGAAGTTTTAATTTTTCGATTAACTCGTAACTGAACCGTAAAACTTTTTACATATTAATCGCGCTGCTAACTTTGTAATGCTATGAAGACTTGAACTAAACCAATCACTATCATATATTGCAGAACAGTAATCTAATTTACTAAGGATGCATGCCTTATAAATTTTTAATCGAACACACTTCGGAGCATCTTTAAATGTACGATATATAACACCTAAATGAAGCCTTCATGCAAGGACTACGTCATTCACGTGTACTCCCCAACTTAAATTGTGCGAAAGTTTCAAGCCGAGAAGAACGACAGACTCTTCGCGTTTCATTACTGTAGAATTAATAGAAAAAGAAAGATGACTGGCAACAGACGGAGATCGATTAGTAAAATACATCAAGCTACACTTTGAATAATTTAACGACATTAGATTTAACGAACACCATTCTTCAATTTTGTCGATGAAATTTTGACACTCTAAGTTTGTACATAAAGCAGTGAAAGAACAGAGTAAAGAACAATCGTCTAGTGCTGATGCAGAAGTAACTGATGGTAAATTGTTCACAACAATTAAAAATAACAAAGGTCTGTGTATCGAGCCTTGCGAGACGTCGGACGATACATTGATTAGATTCGAATAAAAAGAGTCAATTTTTAATCTTTGTTTTCTCTCCGTTAGATAACTCTCGAATCATCTTCTTTTATTCCCAGAGCAGAAAGTTTACTCAAAAGTATCTGAAAAAGAACTCTGTCGAACGCTTTCTCAAAATCAAATAGAACTAAAACCGAATCTATTTCTTCCTCTAGATTGTTAAAAATTTTTGATGTGAGATATAATAATGCGTTCGCTATACTAGAATTCGGATGAAAACCGAATTGTGTCGGAGAGAAAAATTTATGCTTATTTAAATAAGAATATAGTTGGTCGTAAATAAATCTTTCCAAAATTTTACTTATGATTGACAATAGAGATACTGAACGATATTTGTCGACAAGAGCTTTCGGTCCTTTCTTATGTATCGGTACTACGTCAGCAAACTTCCACTTGGAAGGATGAACACCGTGCTAAATAGAAAGAATAAATAAGTGATGAATGATGTCAAAAAGCTCTAATATACATTGTTTAAGAAAACGTACTGTTATTCTATCTGGTCCTGGTGCAATATCGCCTCTTAAACCGTTGATTGCTACAAAAATTTGTCCCCTAGTAGGTAGAATAAGAACAAAAGTATCGTTAATGAATATTTTTGGTTTCGCAGAAGGCCCAGCTTTTGGCACAAAACATTTTGCAAAAAATTCGTTAAACAAATTAGCTTTTGAAGTGTTATAACTAGCTTTTTTGTTATCGAAAAGTACTGTAGCCGGTAGTTCTGTGCTACCGTCCTTAGTGTTATTAATACCTTTACAAAAGTCTTGTGAAGACGTGAATTTATCAGCTAATTTGAAAAAATGTTTACTTTTACTATGCCTTAATTCTCTTAATGCCTTATTTCTAACAGAGTGAAGTTTAGCTATAGAAAGAGAAGATGATTTCGTTTTTATCTGTGAAAAAAGTTTGTCTCTCTGACGACGTGCTACATAATAGTTTTTACTTGATCTAAAAATAACTTTTATTTTGATTTAAGAATTGTGCGGAGTACATAATTTTCAATACCCTTTTCAACAAGTGCCTCAAAATTACTTAACAAACTATTAACGTCGTCTGTAAAGAATTCATTGAAGAAGAAAAACTACCTCTTAAACTATCTCAATCACATCGTTTAAAATCTCTAACTTTTCTTATACCAGATAAAGGCGCAACAGAAATAGAGGGAAATTTACAAAGAAGAGTACCGTGGTACGATTTTCCTAAAGCATCAAAGATAGAGACAGACGGTGATAATTACGACGAAGAATAGTAAACATTGTCTAAACAGGTACCACCTCTAGTTATACAACTAATAGTTGAAGGAACTAGAGACAATAAAGAAACAGTTTCACACAAAGAATGAAATAA